TTCAAAGATGGTCGACTGTCGGCCGTTTTGTTTTTGTGATCAGACCAAAAAACGGAAAGTGTATGTATAACCATGGACTAAAGAGAAGACTACATATGGATTTTGAGAGTAACCCATGCATGAGGACCTTCTCAAGAAATAGCGACAACAAGAATTGTTTAAGTGCATACGGAGAAAGTGCGATCTGATTGCACATCTTGTGAAATAAAAAAAAAACACTTTTGCATGGTAGATTTCCGGCATAATTTGGATTAAATAAGACAAATGCATTTGGGATAGAGGAGTTATTGAAGCAGATATAACGTCCTTACGGCCACCTTAGATATTCGGCTTGACGATATGCCACGGTGTGATTGAACATGCATTTATTTTTATCTAAATTTAGAATATAGGGATGGTCTTGGCATCCGCATTTAACACAATGAAAATACCCGGATACGTCCATAGAGTGGGCAATATGTCATAACAAGCCTCCTCGCCTGCCGTTGGTAACACAAACAGTGAGGGGTAAACGGCAGTTGGAGATCATAGTCACTACAAACCTGACCGCGTGTGGTAGCACTTCGTAAGATACCATTTTCTAAAACAATGCAAAGCTGCTCCTGTGCAAGCGCCAAACCCGCTGCCCCCGTTGGTGCGGGTACGTTCCATATTTGCGTTCCCTCGAAAGAAAAACATCGGATTTTGTGAGGATACGTATAAGAGACAAAGAAACAGTTGCATTCCCCAGCTACGATATCTGTGTATATGGAGAAAAGACCCTTTTCTTTCACAATAACCCTCCTGTGACTTTCAGTATCCAGCAACTCAATACTACGTATGAATTCACTGTAGTGTGATACCAGACAAACGAAACTGTTGTTTAGGTATGTGATGTCCAGAAGGTCACCGCTCTTGTCCTTACGTTTCGTTGTTGACGTCAGCTCCAGTTTGCCGTCCTTCACACTGTACAAGTTTATGAAGTTGTAAAACCCTCCAAATGACACCGCAACAGTACATTTGTCGATTACGGTCAGACCATTAGCATAGTCTACGCCGAGGGGCCCGCGACTCGGCGTTCTCACATGATGTAGAAACTTGTAATCAGGACTGAAAAGTTTTAATTTCTCGTTGTTCCGGTCCAGCACGACAATTGTATCGTCTGCCAGTGCCACCACGCGGTTATGTTTGAAGCCATCCTTATCGGCATCTGATGGAATGGTGAACGGAAATGACGTCAAATACTGGGCAGCCAATGGTGTTCCAGTATGACTATGCGTGATTGATTCTTTCAGTATGGACCATTTTGACTCCTTGTTTTGTTTCACTCCTGCCCTTGTTGTTGAAGAAAGTCCTTCCCCTTGACCTTTAGTCTGTCTGCTAGATGAATTTTGTGTATTGGGTTGAATGGGAACCGACTCGGGACTCCTCGGTGTATTTGACTTTTGCTGGTTACCTGTCGTGAGAACAGATTCGGATTTCTTTGACGATGTCTTTGTGGTTCCCCAAGCAGTGACTGCTTGTACTTTGGTTTTCGATGAAGTTTGGCCCATTCTTTGATACCTGAAACACGTAAACGGTATCACCACCAACACCATGTATATTTACATGTAGTCAATAAATGTTTTCTGACGTTAAAACTATTGAGTACCAACACCCAGGGTATTTTGTTTTGTTTTCCAGAATATTATAAGCTTAGTTCAATGATAGACAACATAAAATACATTACATTATTTGCAAGAAACAAGAGAAAACCATGATTCGTTTCATGAATTCCACGAGACATCCGTCAGTTTGCTTGAGGTTTTTAGCAAAACCTCGAAAATTCAAACAAACGAAAATGTCAACTTTCGCAGTACAATAGATTACGAAAAATTAGATACCATAGCCGGTCCCAGTTGACATGCTATGCTTCAGTACTAGAAAGTGACACAGAAACTGACACTAGCTGAACACTAGTTATACGTTTGAAATGATCCAACTTTATGTGGACTTAATACTGAATGCCGGAAAATAAATGCTATATGACGTTTTCCTCTGACAGCGGACGAGTGTGTGTTTTATATCTTAAGGTCGTAATTGTATATCAAAGGGTTAAACAGTACATATCGACGTATAATACATATGTTCGATCACCTCTAGATATATTATGCTAACCAAGCAGAGCTTTACATTGCTGGTTCGAAAGTACTGAACACCTAACGTGATCCTCCAGTTATAATTACAGTGGTAGATTGCGCTTTGTAGCAGTGTAAATTTAGTTCATTTCACGCATCCCAAACTTTTAAAAAAGAAAGTGCCATTGGTGATATGAGTAGAAGATCTAAAGGCGATGTCTCTTTTGAAGTTTAAAGTAGGTCAACAATTTAGGGATTTTAAAATCGATAGTCCTTCGTATTACCTTTAAACGGAACAAAGCTAATACAAAAAAGGAACGAGGTACATTTATCTAACAGTCATCTGCTGTTTTATAAAGTGTCCGACACGATTTGTAATCTGTCAATTCTATTTTAAGGGCAATTAGAATCATTGTAGTGAGAAGACAAATATTGTCACCATTTACCTCAAGCATGGACACCAGTAGGATTGACACTGTTTTGCAAACACAATATCTAAAGAATGTTGGTCTTTTGTTTTGCTATTGAAAATGGTGTGTATATATAAGTAAAACTTATCTAGCTCTAAAACTTTTATCGACATATATTTAAAGTGGTCTACTGTTCTTTGTTACCATGCATACCATAGCCCTTCGTCATCAAAATGTGAACTGTTTAAATCACTATAAAGCATCTACGGACTATGGACGGGTCTTCTGCTCTTAAATAATCCTTATCATCTATATATTTTAAAATTGATACATCGTTCTCACATGTGCTAGCTTTGCATTTCATATACTTAGACAGGCATCCATTTTGGATTTAGTCTGCTAAAGATTTTGTTGTTTTTGCAGAGGTACATTTTTCCCTAGTCTTTATAGTCGAGTTTGTGTAGTTTCTTATCAATGGGTTTGCATGTGTGTAAAGGGTTCACACATTTCCTATACAAGTTCCAATTATCATTTATTGTACAATTTCAATTACGATATTTTCCAAAAAGTACTTATACCAAAAGAACATTCTCGAAATTTTTATGAAGGATTCTCTCGTTTTCAGCTTAAAAATGCATAACCCAAAGATGAACTGTTTATCAGAAATTAGAAATATATTAATTTCTTTATTCATATAGTATTGCCGTCTTTAAAAGTTGGTACAGAATTTCTAATCTAATATTTTTACCACGGGTACTGTATGACTACCGATTTCGTTATTCACCGTTAACAACGTGCACAATTAGATGATATTTTTTGGTAAGACTTAATTTTCATTCTCTCTTTTCTTAAAGATAATTTTAAAAATTACTTATTCTTACGGAAAGGATAAAGAGCGACACATTATTTATTTTACATTTTTTTTATGAAATCTTCCATGTAAGAAATATAAACGTAAAGAGAAATTTTACTTACCCGATGTCGTGTGTTGTTTCTCTGCATCGGAAATGACGAAACACAGGTTAAAGTTCATTGCTGTCAAAAAAACTGAGTGTTGGATTTCTGTTTACTTATTAGTAGATCACGTAACATGGCCCCGCTTAGTAATTAAGCTTTAACTCAATTAAGACAACCGTTTTCAACTGAAATCGAGTCAACTTAGCGATGTTCTGCGATCAAATTTCAAGCCTTATGATATATGTTACAATCTTACCTAAAAATATCCCAGGTCATTGTTATAAAGAAAAGCCATACATTACAATTCACTACTCATTTTTTATTTAAATACCGAACACCTGTAATGCAATTGTGTAGATAGTTAAAAACACTTACAGGTGATATCACCTTTCAATAGAAATAAAAAATAATTAGAAACAGCACTGCCAAATGGATTAAATGTAACATACACCTATTTCATGTCTCGTTCGTGATGATAAGGACCTAAAATGTGAAAGAATATTCCTAAGCAAGACTCAGATTGATGGAAATAAACGTTATGGTGCGTTTCTTTTATTTTGTCTTGTTAGGTAAGCCATCAATATTTGGATTTGGATTCTAGATCTGTAGGTTCCATCTGTCAAACATGTTGATGAGCGAGTGACTTTCGCTTATACAGAGACTTTCCTTTGACAAAGTGACATCGGTCATGATGGATATATAACTACTAGCCAGGAAAACAATTTAGCGATGGAAATTTACCTTATTTATCTTTATTTACTAACTCACAACACAGGGTTTCGGGAGTTACAGATTGATGAAGATTTTAGGTCGTCACGATCATCTTATCGAGAAATATTCTGTTTTTTTAGCGATATGTAGTTCGACGTCTCTGATACTCGTTATTGTGCTTGGTGGTTTACTTTGTTCCCACTTTGGAACGTGACATTACCTACTTGCATTGATCGAGATTTACATGGCGGGTGTCGGCGATGAAGCACAAAACGCTTACTCTTCCGAGACATTTGATCGTATTCTCGTTGTACTTTTTCAGGTGTGAATATTTCTTTTGTCTATATTTGTCCACGTGTTAATGAATTTGAGCTTGAATTATGCCTAAGTTGACATATTAGTGTTTTTCTCGTTGTTTTTGCCTTAGGGTTTTTAAAATTACGAATCCATTGATTCAAAAAACGTAACACAGAAAACGATTCTTCAATGGAAATAATTTCTATGTCGTTAGAATGTTGATAAACATCTATTTTGTATCCATTTAAAAGATATTTCCACTGCAACATAAGTATGTCTCTGTTTAGAGTTTTGCCTCCCCGCGGCAGCCAAAATCATAAATGCCATTTTCAAAAAGGCGAAGAAGAAACCTTTGGATTCTGCAGGTGACCTAACAATGAATCGCTTCTTGTGACATGCACTAAGATACAGCAGGTATATTTTCCCGGCTCATGCACGAGCATGCAACTCAACACATGTATAATACAATCCAGGTTAAAGATTAAATATCACTCGAACACCATTTATTTTTTTTATGTATTTATAAAAAAGGGTGATGTCCATATAACCATAAACAAAAATATGCTGTAATTAATATGTATGACATTATAAGTTTTTGTAAGTTGGAGACTGGTTCGAATGCTCATTGATACCACCTGTCTTTTTGAAGACACATGTTTCTTCGGTCGAATGACTGTGAATGTACCGTACACCCAGTAATGTCCACGTTTCGAAAGTTTCGTTATTCATTTTTTTTTTCAAACTTACCAAATATGTTCACACGTGTCTCATTATTTTACAGACTGAATTTTCGCGATTACGTTTATGTACCGCGAAATAGCGAAACTATTATCCCGCGAAAAAAAAATGGTACTACAAAAAGTTAATCACATCTGATGCACTAATCTGCTTGGTTCCTTATCCTCATCAAGTGCAAACATCATGAATGTTAATAAATCGCGAACGCTTATGTCAAGATGTGCAGCATGGAAATATCAATGATACAAAAAATGCCCCGAGAACGAAGTTTCGTAATCCGCGATCTTTATCAGCGCCATTAATCTTTTCTGTAGCCATATTCTGTCACCACGCTGTAACCTAATCACTACGGAGTTGGTACTGGTGTGCTGCTTGGGCCCGTGCGTTATTGTAAAACCATAAGTATCTCCATTCCGTTTAAAATCAACAAGCACGTAACCGTATTCCGTATTATCGACCTGCACTGACCATACAAAATGATATGCGCCACTGATTGGACACGTGAAGACGCCGGTCGAGCTGTCGTACGCCTGTCCTTCGTTAAACTTGACCCTGTCAAACTTGATGATCGCTTCAGCACTTGCATACGTTATAAACGTGTAAAATCCAACCTTGACATCTGAAAAAACCCAAATATCAATGTCATAAAAATGAGGCAAAAGAAAAACATAAATTAACAAACGACACTTCGTCTTTGTATGCAAAGAATGAGAACATGTAGATGAATTCGTTATAACAAAATAAGATATGTGGTGTACAAGCCGCTTTACTTTCTTAGAGATTGTACAAAAGACACACAAATGACTAACACCATCGGATAATAATTTGGAGCCGTACAATGAATTAAACTGCATCATACAGCTGTTTCCTCCTGGGACTCGTCACTGATGATATGAGCGTTTAAACAAAGGAGGCGACTGAGGAAGTCCCATCGTGATCAAACGAAATGCCAAACTTTAGAACGCCAAAAATTATTTTGGGTTAACCTCTCTTGATTTTTGTTCTTTTCATCATTCATACATGTTACGATCAAAATTTGCACACATAAATATATACCTTGTGATCGTGCCTCAAGCTCAGTGACTCGCTTTTCCATTTCGACTATTTTCGTTTCCAGTGCATTTATTGTGTTATTGCATCCATTAAGCTGGTTTTCCACCATACTCTGAGTTAGGCTGACGATAGGGTGCCGGAAAGACCTCAACAACTCCTGTTGTATTTTAACTACTTGATAGTCTAGTTCCTTGGGAAGGAGTTGTCCAAGCAGGCAAGATGGACACAACAGAATCCAGATTAATAAATACCCCGTCATTGCCTGTCAGAAACAGAAATCACTGAAGCTACACATCATTTTATTTGCACCATACAACAGAGTCCATGGTTAATGCATCATGTATAGAACATATGCCATCTGTCGACGCTGTTATAGCTGCCATTGACTTCGATTTCACAGTAGATTCAAAGCCGTCACAAATCGATTTTAGGACAGTAAATAGATTATAACAATTATATGGAAAACGAAAGTTACATTAGGGTCCTTTGATAGGTAATGTCAATTTCAGATAAACAGGTCTCAATACAATTTTCAGGCATATCTATGTATTAAAATCGTAACCGCCTTTGCAAAAAAAAAAAAAAAAAAAAAAAAACCTTGATTGGTTCTTCAGCATCCTCTCTTGCAATTCATAGAGAATCGCGCGAACGCTATCCAAGAGATTAGCGCGTTTCTTGATGTTTACAGAATTAGATATAGTATAGCAAAAAATCAACAAGATAATACCAAATTGTCAATATAAGCATAATCTAAACTAAATTCAATGAAACTAGGGCAAAATATGAACAATCCAAATGAATAACGTTATATTCTCAAAGGAAAACAAGGTACACAACAACGGCCAATAGGCAAACTAACAAGATTGATCCAAATTATTGGGATATGAATTTCACTGTGTTAGTTTGCCTGTTGGTTTCGTTGTTGGACACATTGTTCTCATTCTAGAACTGACTTGGATTGACCAAGATTTACATGGCGAGTGTCGTCGATGAAGCAAAAGAAGCTTACTCCTTGTCCATACATTAATGTACATTTTTCGGCTATTTTAATAAATATGAAATATCATGAGAACGAATTAAAACATGCTGAAATCTCTGATGTTTTACGAATATAATACAAGAAAATATTATTAAAAAGTTCTATACGAATTGGAATGTATACTCACCGTTATTCAGTACCCTAACTCCGACAAGCAGAAGAAAACGTATGCCTATCTTCAGTGTGCATCTTTGATATGAACATTGGTTCAAACATTTAAGTAACAAACAAACCACTTAGAAAACCATCGTATAATCTATTTAATTAGTTCTTAATACAGGATAACAATAGACAATGAGACTGGATAAGTGGTTTGTCTATATAGATGTATACAATAACACTTAAGAACTCCCAGATTCTCATTAAAATGAGGTTTTTTATCTGCAATTTGTACTTTGTTCTGACATATTACGCGCCACTACTTAAACACAAAAGGCCAAAATAGGAGCCAGTCCTCTTTTGGTTTCTCTTCGTTAAATGCATTTCTTTCATTATCAAAAAAACAAAAGGCTTATTTGGCCTGATCATTCACATAATATTCAAAGTTTTTTTTCTCAAATAGTTATCATCGTTCATCATTGACGTTTAAGTATATATCACATCTGTTTAAAGAAAACTTTTAAATTAGCGTCCAAAGTTAACAATAGTCGTTTACAACTGATGATACTAATATGAACAACTTTTTAAGCAGCTGAATATTTGGGTAGATTTTAATATTTGAACCAAATTTCATTCCTACCTAGAATACTGGTTAAATTCTTAATCGCAAACAAAATTTACAAATCTGTTGATCACATTTTGCCGTAGTTAGATTTAATTTGAGTTTGAATTGAAATTGTTGACATGTATGTATGTTGACAGAATTATGAAATATTGTGACGATTATAAGCACTTCGTATCTACAGTGTATACATTGAGCGGTACACGTATCTATTCATAGCTACTTTCAACAAAGGTCACGATACATCGAAAAGGCTGAGGTCATCGAAATGGCTGGGACAGCCTTCGTGGTTGGAAGAAGGATTTAACACCTTGTCGATTGATATTTAGTTTGGAGGTTGGTCAGTTACAAGAGTTTACCTTCGGCATTGGCAACCACTTTAGGGATAGTGCCCTTTCTTCTCTGTTTGTGAATTGCATAAAGGACTTTGGCACGGTCGTCATTGGATCACCATCGGGATGATAATGATGGTGAAAGTTGCATTCATTCGCACATGTCAGTGGTGACTTCCTTGGACAGACATGGTGGAGGCGCCACTGTAGTGTCAATGTGAAAGTTGGAACTTGATACTGGAGAGTTTTCGTACCGTAATTTGGAGCCAAAGACAGACATAAATCATGTTACCACCTCCAAGGCAAAATTAACAATAAATGAATTGATCATACAATACTCATTTTAAAATAACATATTTTTCTGGTGATGAAGAATCTGCTTAGTTGTGTTTACATTTCAGTTTTATCATGGTGATGGCTGTTTACGAAATTAAATTTGATTACACATAAACTAGTTGTCCTCCATCAGGGAGTGGACAGTCACCTTTGGACAGAGTCTGCTTGTCTCAAGAACCTCTCCTGTCTGAATGTAATTGTTATATAGCTTTGTTATATTCTGTAGGATGCCGAGAGATTAGATTTCAGAGAACACACATACAAATGTATATGTTAGATTCGATAAACAAGAAAACATCTCGGTGTTCATAATTAAACGTTAGACACTTACATGGCACAGTGGTAATCGAGTGATGTGGGCGATGTAGGTGTCAAGCTAACGGTAAGTTACAACACTCATCGTAGGCTGCACTAGGTCAAGCTGGTAAACGGATTTAATTTACATAGTTACCGCTTTATTGTTGTCTACAATTGCCTTCCACGGCATTTCATAGACCGGTGCTATACATACCAATAGAACACACATACAAATGTATATGTTAGATTCGATAAACAAGAAAACATCTCGGTGTTCATAATTAAACGTTAGACACTTACATGAGACAGTGGTAATCGAGTGATGTGGGCGATGTAGGTGTCAAGCTAACGGTAAGTTACAACACTCATCGTAGGCTGCACTAGGTCAAGCTGGTAAACGGATTTAATTTACATAGTTACCGCTTTATTGTTGTCTACAATTGCCTTCCACGGCATTTCATAGACCGGTGCTATACATACCAATAGAACACACATACAAATGTATATGTTAGATTCGATAAACAAGAAAACATCTCGGTGTTCATAATTAAACGTTAGACACTTACATGAGACAGTGGTAATCGAGTGATGTGGGCGATGTAGGTGTCAAGCTAACGGTAAGTTACAACACTCATCGTAGGCTGTACTAGGTCAAGCTGGTAAACGGATTTAATTTACATAGTTACCGCTTTATTGTTGTCTACAATTGCCTTCCACGGCATTTCATAGACCGGTGCTATACATACCAATAGTCTATAACAAAAGAATGATGATAGAAGATTGTACAAAAGACTACGATGTGAATAACACCCTTTGAATGCAAATTTGTAGTTAGATGCAGTAGAGCCAAACTATGTATTAAATTGCATCATACTGTTGTTGTGTCCCTCTAAGATTCGTCAGTGATGCTAATGGCCTTTTTGAGGCTAAGGAGGCGACTGGGCAACATCCAAATTAATCCAAAGAAAAGTAAGAATATATAAGATATTTTAGAACAACGTAAAATACATGTAAATGCTTTGAATCCTGCCACAAAGTACATTTGTCGGCATCGATGTTTAGTCGTCATAACTGAAAGATCAATGTAGATATGTACAAAGCCAGTGTCTATGCTTTGAGGACTTTCCTCATCGCTACCACCTATTGAAGAATATTATACTTAATACCGAATGAAAGTAATTGGAAGATCGAGGCAATGATTTCCAGTAACAGTGAAATTCTCCTTGAAGTCCACTCTGTGGAGCAGGGGAAAAGGCCTTTATAGACTAATTTATAATTACTTTCCATTACTTCGGATAATTGGGAGCCAACCTCGGTAGTCTTTATAGACAGGTGAATATTGTTTACAGGTAGACATTTCGTCAGGTTTCATTAAATCAAATCAAAATTTACCAACAAGCATTTATGCAATAAATGAAATTGATCAATTGAAAAGAGGCATGTTGAACACGAGTTTTTATGTTTTTTTTTCTAAAGAATTATAATGGTTCAAAAGTTCACATATTAAATACGAACAACAAAACATATATTCACTTTAGAAAGAATGGTTTTAATATTAAATGTAAAAATCAATAGATACAAATGTACAACAGTACGTGTCGCAGTTTTTGTTGGACATAATGGTTGGTTACACATATTACATATATAACTATCTTACTTATATATCACGCGATATCATGGAATACCTTGACAAATAATAATTCCATATCCGTTATTTTTTTTCAAAAATCCTTTATTATTGTGTTCAGAAAAGAGACGAATAGTGTCTATTTTGAATTTGCTTGCTATTCTTAACTTGAGTTTCCCATGGTGCATTTTTATCCCAAAGTATAAATGTTTATCTCCAGTGTTAATTGCATAATATTCTGCGGGACCAGAATTTCAGAAGTCCAGAAACGGTAGAGATTTCATTTCAGAATGTATCCAGAAAATCGATTTTTTTGGTGTCAAAGCAGTTTTGCAGCATAAAATGTATTTGATATTGAGACATTTAAAACAAAAAGCTCAACTTTTCGTATCGCAACGAAGATAATTAGATATCTGGTTTCGGAATAAAGTTAGATGATTCCAACTTATCGCCATCATGCTTTTGTTCACTGACGCACTCGTTATTTTGTGATTTTTCTGTTGGTAAACTGTAAATAAACATGAACAATACATTAACAACCGTAATAACAGATTTTCCTACAGACAGATAACTAAACCAAAGAGGAGATAACTCTTCCATTAAATATCCCAAAAGTAACGGATTAAGAACACATCCTAAAAATCCAATAGTATTGAAAAAGGCGGGCACTTTACCATGCACCGGAAGTAAATTTTCATTTACCCAGCTTATGTATGTTGGCCAAGATAATCCGAATGGAAACCCAACGATACATATGGAAACCCATATCCCGAAATCCAGGTTCGTGCAAGCACTGATTAAAATCCCTACAAACCCAGACGTGTAGGTAATTGAAGAAAATAGAAGAATGGTTCGAACTTGAAAAAAATGTACAAGAAAAATACCACTAATTCTTCCGAACATCGTTGCAAAAAACACCACAGATGTAAGATATGCTCCGGATGTCTTTGCCCAGTCTAACCAAAGAACGCAAAAGGCAGACAAATACCCACTGAAGGTAAAGTCCAGGTCGAAATAAACGAAGGAGAATATGCTTATATTGGCCAACTGAAGTCGTTTTAAAAATAAAGAACGATCACCCAAAAACCTGTAACCTAATTGTTTATCCTGATTTGTGGGGTTATCTTTGAATCTAGATCGACAATATAGTATATAAAATGGCGTCGCTACTACCAACACCATTGTAGCGGAAATAGTATAAATAATGTAAAGTCGAGACGTTGGTTCCGGAAAAGAAGAAAACAATGTTATGTTGTCAAGACTCTCACCAACTGAAATGTGATCGAACGATCTATTTTCTACTGTAGGTCTAAATCCATATTGGTCAAGTGTGACATTTGAAGAATTTTTATAATTAGATTCATTTTCTGGTAATTCTAACAAATATGGCGCAGTTGACAATGACGACAGTACGCTAAAAATGGCCGAGACTGTGTTGAGTAATTGGAGGTATGCTCGACTTCTGGTTGTTTTCCCCCACATCACAACTCCCTCAGATATAACAGCTGAAATAGAGAAGCAAATTTCGTTATGTCCATATCTGTTACAATTTAATTAAAATTGAGATTTTATATTATATTTTCAATTCTTTCCTTTAAAATGTTTTGGAAAATACGTTAAAATAAGCATGTTATAGACCTTCTCAAGATACAGAATGAACCTTACCCACTACTAAAATTCCTCCGGAAATACCATATCCGACATGCGCACCAAGCATCATAACATATCCGGTACACCAGGGAATCAATGCTACCATCAAGCTGCACAATGTCAGAGAAATAGCAAATATCAAATATTTGTTAATTCTCCAATACATAACGCCGCCGATAATCGGCCCCACCATCCGTCCAATATAG